GCTGAGGGTGGTGAAGCACTGGCACAGGTTGCCCAGAGAGGTGGTGGATGCCCCATCCCTGGAAACATTCCAGGTCAGGTTGGACGGGGCTCTGAGCAACCTGCTCTAGTTGAAGCTGTCCCTGCCCACAGCAGGGGGGTTGGACTAGATGACCTTTAGAGGTCCCTTCCAACCCAAACTAGTCTATGACTCTATGAAAAATTAAGAGGCACAAGTAAATTCGACCAGCTGATGGGGGAGGATGCATAAACAGCACAATAACTGCATAACCAGCACAGTAACTGAACACACCAGCTGCCTCACCGCTGTCGTGCGCCTGTGAAAGTCACAGGAAAATGGCATCTTGCTGTGACTTCATTGTAAATCAGCCTATCACTCAGCAGTAATAAAGCCACCTTAGATCCTCGCCAGCTAAAAGAAGTTGCAGCCTATCACCAGGTATGATGCGGATCTGCTGCTTGTCTCTGGCATTCAAACGTCTACTTTTCTCTCTCCTTTGCTTCCTCCAAAGAATGTGCAAAAGCCTTCCACGCAGCTGGCTCCAAGCTGGTGCTCTGTGGCAGAGACAGCGAGAAACTCAAAGACGTGGTGCAGGAGCTTTCTACCATGACCAATCACCGAAGGAACGTAAGTGTGGGAGAAGGAGAGGCTGCTTGTCTTGTGCGGCTGGGATTTCTGTTCCTGTTGTTACAGAAGTTACAAAATTGCTTGTGGGTTGTTCCATTGAGCAATAGGAAAAATGCAAGTCTGTGGTTAGGGATAGATATTGCTATAGGAGTACATTGAGCTGACATGTCATATCTTGTAAAAACCCTACAAAAAAAAGCCATCTGAAAGACTCCTTGCCTTGTAATGGAAGTGAAAGCATGCGAGTGTGGAGCGCCCAGACCCCTTGCATATGTATATCTGGAAAAGTGACTTTCCTTCTGTCGGCTTTTTTTTTGATGTCTAGTTCAGCTGACAGTGGCTAAGAAAGGTATCGCTGGCTTCTGTAGAAGACACATGGGTTAAGTTTTTGATTTTTTCAGATGCATTTTTCTTAATAAGACAATAGGAAACTTTAGTACTTGAGGAAGATCTCACTTGCCCCTTTCCCAGGCTCTGGTATAAGGAACAGGCTACAGGAGCAGAGCACAACCTGCTTCTGTCACGTACTCCTACCAAATGGAACTGCTGCGCTCTAATTGCACAAGGTTTGGATGATCCTGCTTCTGTGCTTCCAGAGCTGGGAAATCCCATCATGAGCATGAACATACAGCACATTCAGCGCAGGCTGAACTGTTTTTTTTGCTAACTTTTGTTTATTCACAGACACACAAACCTCACACTGTGGTATTTGACCTCTCGGACACTAAAACTGTCCTAAATGCTGCTGAAGAGATCCTGAAGTACTTGGGTCACGTGGACATACTGATCAACAATGCAGGCATCAGTTTCCGAGGCACAATTGTGGACACAGGACTGGATGTGGATAAGAAAGTGATGGAAACAAATTATTTCGGTCCTATAGCCCTCACCAAAGGTACCTGTGATGCAGATTACAGGGGGACAAGGGATTTGGCTGATACCTTCTGCAGGCCAACACAACTAAGCACAGCTTAACTTCTGTTTGTATTTGGTACAGTACTGTATAAGAGGGGAGGAAGGTTTTGTTTTATGGGCAGGCCTAAAGGAGATGCTTGGGCAGGACTGCATGGGAAGTACCTCATTAGAGATACTATCTTTTTTAAAAGACCTCTTGTCTGGCAGGAACTTATGAAGAGAGATATGGTTAGCCTGCCTGCGCTGATAAAACCCTAGAGAACGCAGTATGGGTTCTAGGTGAAGCTGTAGCTTTCCTAGGAGGCTTCTTTGGTTACACAGAAAGTTCAGCCTGGAGGGTGTCAGCTGCAGGAAATGGAAAGATGTAGTGGTGGCAGAAAAGAGCAAGTCCTGCTGACCATGCCTGGGGGAGATCATAGCAACTATAACAGCCTTTGTGCAGCCTCACTGGCACAAGGAGCCTCCTCATAGGTGAACGTCCCAGCCAGACTGCAGCTTCAGTTAGAGGCATCCTAGGCACTATCCCCTGCCCAACCCCTACACTGAACAGGGATCTTGTAATTCACTTAGGCATCTCTGAATGCTCTGAAAGCATGGATTCTTGACAGCAGTAATGGCAGGACTGTTATTCTGAATGGGTCTTTTCTGTCTTTTGCTAGCACTTCTCCCCTCCATGATCAAGAGGAGACAAGGCCACATTGTGGCCATCAGCAGTGTTCAAGGCAAAATAAGCATTCCTTTCAGATCCGCATGTAAGTACCTCCACAGAAGATGGGGAAGACATATTTGGGGCACCAGACTGAATGAATACTTGGCTACTGCTTCCACATTTCACTCTCTGTAGAGCTGGCTGCCTGCAGGGAAGGCAGAGCTGTGCATCATTCTTAATGTGGTCACAAATCACTGACAGCTGTTGAGGAAGGCACTCTCAAACACAAAATCTTAGCCCTGTCCTGAAGTTGTTAAGGGATGGGGAAGGAGAATGTTTTTAGTGTCTTGAAAACAGCTTAATATTCCTATCTTAACACTTGAGAGTCCCTATAAACTTTCTGATTAATTGCATTTTATACTTGCTGTTTGCCTGGTTAATCTCCTCTAAGAAAGTAGGAACCTTTTGTTTTAAGAAGTTATGAAGTGCCATAGTACAACCAATGTCAAAATAAAAGCCTAAAGAGTTATCTTGACCCAGCAAACTCTTCATGCTAAATCAGTTATGACAAGAAATAATATTGGTGAGATTACTGGAAAAAGCCTTATAAAAGATGGAGGAACTAAAAGGAGAGTGTTTGGCATACAAGCATGTGTAAATCACTGAAAATAAACATAAAAATGGAAAAGTACAGTGGTGATTGCATAAGAGTGGTAGCGCATGATGCTGAGCGAAGGAGAGCCTGGAACGTCTGAGCCAGATGGCCCAGATGGTCTTGCAGATGATCTGGGTACGACTGCACCAAGGAGTGTGTTCTGAAGAGCTTCCAGGGCGCTTGCATGGTGATCAGAGCCGCGTGGGCCTGGCAGCGTGGAGCTCAGCTCTTGCCTAGGTCCTCAGACAGGGTATGCAGCCTGCACTAAGCTCTGTGCTGCTGGTATCAACCCTGCAGCCATGTTGAGGTGATGGCAGTCACGGTGGTAGTGACCAAATATCCATGGAAAGGGAGTGAGCAAAAGGAATCGCTCAGCCATTTAACAGGGGGAAATCCTGCCCTAGGCCACACTTCTCTGCTCCTGTCTGCTTGTGTGATCAGGTTTTGACTTGTGTGCAGCCAAGCTCTGAACCTGCTCTGCAAGTCCATAATGCTCAGCGCACGTATGCCGGCAGGGCGCTTGGCAGCAAATGTCAGCTCTGCCCTCCTGTACTGGCATCACATTCCCCCAGCCTCAGCCTGTCTTATCAAATGCTTCCCAAGCCAGGCTTCATGTCTCCTTTATCGCGAGTGGGAGACAGCTTGGGTTCGCTCCGTAGTGCTTTGGCACGGCTGTGATATTAAGCTCAGGATCCTAGCCAGTTTCCAACTTGGGTATTTACATTTTGCCTTCCTAAATTGCCTCACTCCCACTACCTGTTGCTGCCATTCACTAAAAAAAAAAAAACAAAACAACAGACCTAGGAGTTGGAGAGCAGCTGCTGGGTTCTTGCTGAGAAGCAGCTGTATTGCAGTGAAAAACCCATGCAGGGGAGTGAATCGTCCTTCAGCCCTGCTCCTTCTCCTTAGTGCATACTCCTTTTTCTGTTTTTCAGATGCTGCCTCTAAGCATGCTACCCAGGCCTTCTTTGATTGTCTACGAGCAGAGGTAGAGCAGTATGACATTGATGTGACAGTTGTAAGCCCCGGATACATTCAGACAAACCTCTCTCTCAATGCTGTAACAGCAGATGGATCTCGCTATGGAGGTGAGATACGATTTTGTGCCCTATATCTAAAGCGTCTCCACTTCACTGAGTTACTCCAAAGTGTGCTTGCAACATACGGCCTCTGGTGGGGACACAGGTTAGCCCTGAAGTATCAAAAGACAACTTTGGATGCAGGGTAGGAACAGTAACCCCCAAAATTCAGCCTTCCTAGACAGCAACTACTGACTTCTAGCCCAACCCTGAATTATACCTGCCTGTGCTCTCATACACAACTGATGTAAAAACCAAAACCATACAAGCAGCCATGTACAGCTGGAACAGAGCATTCCTAGGAGAGGTACTTAAGTGTGGGCTTACCTGCTGGCGCTGGTGCTTACTCGGCTTTCCTTTGGCAGTTATGGACAAGACCACCACCGAAGGACAGACAGCCGCAGAGGTCGCTCAGGTTGTTCTCAATGCGGTGGGACAGAAGAAGAAGGAAGTACTTGTAGCTGGCCTAACACCTTCCCTGGCTGTCTACCTGCGAAATCTCTTCCCCAGGCTCTTCTTCACCTTAATGGCAACTAGAGCAAAAAAGGAGAGAAAAGCAAAGGACTCTTAGAGCTCAGCTCATTCGAGCAGTAACTGTAGGGAGAGGCTAGCCCCCTGCAGTTTGGCTGGGACATCGGTGGAGGTGCTCCCGCAGGAAAAACCTTTCTCAAAATGCTGCAGTTTACCGTTGCATGGAGAGTAGGAAGCAGTTTCCCCCACATCAGGGCAGAGCCACTTGCTGGAAGACAGCACCTAGACCTCACCTGAAGCAGGGTGCTTGGACAAAGGGGGAGAGCTGAGGCTGCAGGGGAGGGTAACTCAAGGGGACACACTTTGCAGCAGGGGAGGCCCATGTGCTGGAAAGACAGCACCTTACCTCACCTCACTCCAGGCATGCTCAGCTTTCCTGGCCTGCTACAAATAAAACCCACCTGTTTTGCCTTCACACAAGCAGATCTTAGCTTTCCCCACCCCGCGGCCCCTGTGAAATACAGTCCTCAGCTGGGAGCTCTCGTGATCAGTGTCTCCTTCCCACTCCTTGCAGTCTGATCTGCAACATGTTGCTTGAAGTGGGAAACTTCACAGGGCCTCTGCTTGTTAATATGCCAACTCATCTGATAGGTTAAGCTAAAGTCAAGTCCAGTGCCACTTTTAGAGAACTGATGTAAAATTTAAGTTTTATTTGGCAATTATTTTCTGTCTGAATCATGCCTTACTGATGTACAGGGACATTTAACTCTGCGCTACCTGACAGTACAGTATTAACCCCAGCGCAAGTTAATGCAGGGGAAGCACTGAACAGATAGAAAGTAGCACGGCGAGGTACGCTGTTGCGTGTAAATACTGTGCAGCTGACAGCAGCACACCCGGTTCACCTGCAGGCCTAGAGCGCAGAGTAGGTGTGATTCTGTAGATGCCAGGCACGCTGTCTCCTGGCAAGCAGAGGAGAGTCTGTGTGTGTAGGGTGGACGGTACAGGAGACAGACCCTTAGTTCTCATCTGTTTTAAAGCAATCACGGATGCTAATTAGCATCACATCCAGTGGGGGAATGATGCCCGCCTGTTCACATATCACAGGCTTCAGGGAGTCTGACAGCCTGAGGGAGTGCCATATTCCATTCTTCGACCCCTTCTCCTCAAGTGAGGGATACCAGCACCACTAGGAAAAAGGGGTGGCTGCACAGAGAGAGTTCAGTAAGGACAGAAATAATCTTTTTAACTTAGAATTGAAGTAAAGCCGCCTAGTCGGAACCAAGGTCCGGACCCCTGCTGCCGCCTCCATGCACTTACCAGCATTTTCCATGTGTACTGCCTTGTATGTCCTGCCTGTGAGTGCCCATCTGATGACAAATAAATTGCATCGCTATGAAATTAATCCTTTGTGCTACTTCAGCTCCTCACAGCAGGTAACATTAGAGGAAGGGAAAGCGGGAGAGGTTTGTTTTTCTTTTCTCTTCTTATGTTCCTGCAAGGTGCTACTGTACCAGTAGTAGTTGCAGAATAATATACCTCATCCCAGCCCTCTTTACATCATCTGCTAGCTTACAGTAGGCATAGTGTGATCCATACAGAGAATTAGTCACACTAAAACTCTAATACAGGTGTGCAGGCTCAGCAGGACCTTCGCCTTCAAAAAGCCTTTTCTTGACCACTACAGATTTATAAGCGATCTCTGAGAATCCATCCCAGACGGTGACCAGGACGTGTTTAATGATCACAATGCTGCTGCTCAGTTGGGACATCCTCTACCATTTTCACTGGGGCTGAGGTTGCAGATCTGTTACATGAAGGCCTAGGGTTGAAATTACTAGTTGAAGCTTTTGGGCGTTTGTATCTTTTTTCCTGTTAAGATAGGAAACCAAGGCATTACCTTCTCTCCCTCTCCACAAGGGGAGTTCCTGTAAGCATTAGTTGTGCTTTTCCTTTCGTGTTTTGCACGTTCAGGTCCTCCGTTTCTTGGCAAAACATAGTCCTCCTGCCAGTCTTGTCCAGCTGCTCCGTCTTCTGGTGTTCCAGGTCATGGCTACCCAGGAAGGACCGAGGGGCCATTTGCGTTTCTGTGTTAGCTTCCAGGGTGCTGAGGGGTGTAACACGTCAGGCCTGAGGAAAAAAAATGACCTGTGGCTCCCCTGTAGTTACTGTTTGAACTACAGCTCCAAGTCAGGGGTTACTGAGAGTGTGCACGTTCCCCTTTGAAAGTAAATCCCCTCTCTGTGACGAAAGGAATGTAGCACACTCCATTTCAGAGCACCTCCGTAATGGTCAGGATGGGCAGCAAAGCGTGCAGGGCTTGTCCCCAGCCAGCGTAACCCACAGCTACCGGCATGGGGGGAAGGCAGGTACAGCAACCATCCATGCGATGCAGTGAAACACATGACTCAAGACCCCTCTCATTCTCCTGGGTCACCTTGCGTAGTTACAGCACTGATTTACTAATAGCCAGGATGTCACCGAGCATTTTAGCCAGATTATCACTAATATTTCTTGGAAAACAAGCCCCCCTACCCCCCATCTACATCCTCTCCACCTCAGAACGGAGCGAAGGGTGCGTTTTTAAAACAGACCTACCTGTTGTGACAGCTAAGCTGACTTTTCACCTTTCCTCCTGCAATACGAGGCCACAGGAAACTTGCTCATTTTTAACTCGAGAGTCTTCGATGCAAGCCATGCGTTTAGGGAGCCTACCAAGGGCTAGTCCTTCTGCCATAGTGATCATTCCAGGCAAGGGAAAGCTTAACACAAAAAAGTGCCAGGACCACAGGGTTTTGGTGAAGCAAAGAAACTAACAGCCCTGACAATTATTCTGCATTGATTC